TATTTAAAAATATGTTTAACCTTATACAATTTCAGCAGAGTAGAAAAATAACGCGTTACCCAGACAACATGCACGTCTACACGACGTCTTAAAGACGTCATTAAAGAGACAACTTTAAGACTTTACTAAATAAACGTCTTTAAGGCATCGTTTAGACATGAATGTTGTGCGGGGTCTGACTCAGGAGTCGCATTAAAATTTAAGTACTGCAAAATTTACTTTTTAAAAAATAACGCTACCGGTAACGTAACTCTTTTTAATTAACGTTCCTGACTTTTAATTCTGAATTTTAGACAATATTAAGCAGCACAAAACATATAGAAAAGAGTATCCTATATGATATATTTCATCCCTGGATGCATACTGGTCTTCTCACTAGTGGAGGTAACATAATAATGTTAAGATAAATAAAGATATATATTTTACTATGTTGTATAAACATTGCAATTTGCATCATTTGGGCTGGAAAACTCTGATACTGGTCAATATCAGAGCTTCCCAGCATTGATGGCAATGTTTGTAAAACGTTAACATTACGTTGTAATCGAACGCGGCATCCATTCGGAAGCCATTACTACTGACGATGTCAACAACAACAACGAAAGATTAACAAGTTAGAACATTAAAAACGTGTTGCAAAGATTTCTTTTCTACGTTTTATAATTGTTATCACAAAAGTTTAAAAGCACATCAAAAAAGAATAAATTTGGTATGTAATCAATAGTTATTAAAAATCTATCAAATTCAAATTAAATTAAAAAATATAAATCTCTTCGAAATACTTATTACACATTTTTACCTCTTAATTTTGCCTTATGTTGTTTGCGTTTTAGGGACCAAGTGGCATTTACGACGAAAGATATTAACTCCCTCATTTCATTTCACTATATTGAAGCAGTTTACTGAAATCTTGATCGAGGAAGCCGAAAACATGGCCAAATCAATGAAAGATACAGGAGGCACAGTTGTAAAAGATTTACTACCACTTTTTAGTGAACATACGCTAAATGCAATATGTGGTATGATAATGTGTTCGTACATAACTGTACAGAACGTTATCTCTCTTGATAAATGACATAAGAAATGATACAAATTTTTTTTATTGGAAATTTCAATATTATAACGTAGGCCTAGTTTCACCAATGTTGCTTAACTTTAAGCTTAGCTTAATTCATTCTTTGTCTCTTCCTAACTTTACTTTAGACAGAAAGAAAAGTAAATTAAACTAAGATTAAAGTTAAACGACGTATGGTGAAACCGGGCCTTACTGATGCATAAATGGTTATCTAATCACAGATGTACTTGATACATATAGTATCCCACACAGCACCGAAATATTTCAGGAAGCTCTCAAAAAGCTGTCAATGAAATATGAAACCTTTCAAAAAAATATTTCAGACATATTTCAGATACATGAAATGTCCGCGTAGATGAGATATCATAAATGTTTCTGAAATATTTCTGAAATGCTTCAGAAATATCTCTTAAATGCTTCGGAAATATTTCTGAAATGCGTCGGAAATATTTCTGAAATGCTTCAGAAATATCTCTTAAATGCTTCGGAAATATCTCTTAAATGCTTCAGAAATATTTCTGAACGATTTCTATATTACATTTCAATATTAATTTCCAAGTTATATGTTGGATAGCTTTCAATAATATATGTTTTAGAGACTTTTAGAGAATTTTAGAGATTACGTACGAAATATTTCTCTGAAATGTTTCGTGATATTTCTGAGAAATAGAAACATTTATAGAAATAGAAAAATAGAAACATTTCAGAGAAATATTTCGTAATATTTCTGAAATATTTCAGTGAGAAGGATCATAAATGATTTCGATGAAACATTTCAGAAATATTTCTGAATGATTTCTATCTTACATTTCACTATTAATTTCCAAGTTATATGTTGGATAGCTTTCAATAAGATATGTTTTAGAGATTACGTACGAAATATTTCTCTGAACTGTTTTGTAATATTTCTGAAATATTTCAATGAGAAGGATCATAAATGATTTCGATAAAACGTTTCAGAAATACTTCTGAATGATTTCAATGTTACATTTCAATATTAATTTCCAAGGTATCTTTTGGAAAGCTTTCAATGACATGTGATTTTGATAAAACGTTTCAAAGATATTTCTGAATGATTTCAATTTTACATTTCAATATTAATTTCCAAGTTATCTTTCGGAAAGCTTTCTGAAACTTGTTTTACTGTGTGGGATATCATAACATTATACTGATACTTAAACATGTATGTTTGCAGAAACTGCCATGGGCACTTCTTTAAAAAGTCTCGGTGAGTTTCAACAACAGTATCGACAAGCAGTTCATCGGATGGGCGAACTTTTTGTTTATAGGTAATTATATGTTGTTTATAGGTGTAATAACTGATTGCACACACACACATACACACTCATGTCTGTATTCTTAAGATA